CTTCAGGGGTAGTTAATGTGTCGGTGTTCTTTAGGTAAGGGTTCATGAAAATAAACAATTAAATAATAGGTCCAAGGCACTCAAAAAGTAAGTAAAAACATTAAAAAGCCTTTATTAACATAATGGCTATTTTATAAAACCGCATCTAAGCGTAGGTTAATAAAGTCTTTTCAAATTTTTTTCCCCACTTTTCAACTGCCTTGGACTTATGGTTTCATCCATCAGTATATGTTTTTTGGTGTTCAACACAATAAAATACAGGTTTGGAACAGGATGAGTAAATGATGACAACTTCATTGCCCATGATGCTTTGCTTAAATTACTCCAATTATTGAGAAAATCTAGCTAAAATCTGTATCTAGTACACAAACATTGTTACATGGTTCAGTTTTCACTTTTATTTAAAATAAAAGTTAATAAAGTTCACCTTGTAGCTGGTTGGTTTAATTTAACAATAACAAAACAAAAGACTTAAACATTTCACAAAAGGAAGCGACTGATAAAACCTTTTTAATCTAGTTCACAAATATTGAAAATTATTTACTCATTGTTTAATTGTGAAATGAAGCTTTCTGTACCAGTTCGATAAAATTGTATCGGAAATAAAATTGTTAATCGAAGCTTTCCAAATCAGAGCTCGATGAGGACCTTTGCTGGTTAAAGTGTGGGAAAGCACTGCTTTGCATAAACTGTCAAACGTTCACGACTGACCAACTCATTTATGTATCAATACAACAATAGTAATATAACCAAATTACTTAATTACTGTAGTTTTTTGCATACAAGGTACTCTACATTACACCCCCGATGACTAGTAAAATCAAAGGTATGTAAAAGGATTAACGTTTATCATATTCCAACCGGTCCTACACCCACCCACCAGCGAGGATCGAACTGGCGAATCCTGCATTGGGAGGCGAATGCTCTGAGAAGACTGTTGGAGTGAGGCTTATGGGCTGCACTCAACAGCTGGCCTCCATTACACACTATACTACAATATGCAGTGGCCTTCTTTAAAAATAGTTGTAAATAATACACTTTAGTATGATCCAAAAGCTTTTCACTATAATTTACTATTGTATTTTAGTTGAATTCCTAGTGTGTGGTGCTTTGAAACAGTAGAAATGTATGTAATCGATGTCTAATCTCTTGCTATAGACTTTACTAACCCACGAGGGCGTTTAAACCTTTGAATCAAAATTTGAAGCAGTCACGTGGGTATAGGTGAAAATGAAGCTTCGAGTGTCACTGATCATGCGATTATGGCAAAACGAACAAGCTCTGGTGCACTGCTTGACTGGGAGATACATCATTTTTTTGACGAAAGAGAAAACATGTTGACGAACGCTATAGTTGGCACTAATTGACTTCCATAGAAATTATGGAGGTCAATTAATGCCAGCAACTGGCGTTCTTCAAAATAACTTTTTTTGTGTGTGTGTGTGTTCATTAAAAGAAACTCAATGGCTTAAAATTACATGTGGTAGAATAAATAATGAGGTATTTTATTATTTGAGTGAACTATCCCTTTAATGTACTCTGTTTAAAGTTGAGTGATCTGGAAATACTGTACCAAGAACCATCATCAGCTCGGATCAACCATGATAAAATTTGATGGTGTGGAAAATCCATATATGCACCATCAAGGAAATCTCGGACCCTTAACCCTCATCTGATACTATGAATGTCAAATTGAAGGCAGTCTATTTAATTGCTTGGTCTAAACCAGTGTTTCCCAAGCCTATTCCTAAAGGCACACCAACAGTACATATCCCTTATCTGACCCATTTGACTAAGGTTTTGGAGTTTTTTTCTAATGTTCTGATGAGTTGATTTAGGTGTGTTTGATTAGGAAGAGGTTGAAAATTTGTCATGTTGGTGTGCCTTTAGGAACAGGGTGGGAAAACAGTAGTCTAAACTAGTTATCCTGTGCTTCCTGATGTGCACATAACAGGATGGGGGATATATAGTTGCTGTTTTGTGAAATGTTATCAATTCAATTTGTAAATAATAAAATTGATTTGGTCTGTTTAGGTCTTGTGGCGGATGGTCGAACCGAGGATGGTTTTGGCATTGAGTTTGGCGTCAACCATCTTGGCCATTTCTTGCTCACATGTCTTCTGCTGGACCGCCTAAAGGAGAGTCCTGCCGCTCGGGTCATCACTCTGTCCTCCATGGCTTATCGCTGGGGCAGGATTGATTTCGATTCTCTCATCACCACCAAAGACCTGGGCTCGGGGAGATACAGCTGGCAGTTTTTCCAGGCCTACTGCAACAGCAAACTCTGCAACGTCCTCTTCACTCACGAGCTGGCCAAGAGACTGAAAGGCACAAGCGTCACCTGCTACAGCGTTCATCCAGGTAATGCAAGAGAATCCTTTATCTAGTCAGAGATCTGTCTCTTGTGTTGCTCAATACCTGCACAACTTTTTTCAATTGTTTGTGCATCCTTCAAATTCCACTTTTATGTATGTGTAGGGTAAAAGTCACTCAGGTTGGGAATGTCACAAGGTTGATGATGAAATAGTTTTTACACAGTCTCTATTTATTCACCCTCAAGTTTTTCTAAATCTAAGTTCCTCCTTTTGTTGAAGATATTTTGAAGATAAAAAGCTGCAATGAAAATCCAGTGGATGTCAATGCTTACAGGTTTTCAACTTTCAATCTTCAACAAAAGAAAGAATTCAGATTTAGAACTACTCAAAGGCGATTTAAGTAGTTAGACAATTTAAAAACGATTGTCATCAACCTTGTGACCTGTGTTCAATGGCAGCAAGAAACTGAAGTTTATTTATAAACTAAGTTTGAGAGGATTACGTGCTTATGACTGCTTGCGGCCGGCTTTGCATTATTCAATTTATGATTCACCAATCACACGATTCCCAAGTCTCTATAAATACCCTAAGTTCCATATAACAGCCATCTTCATTTTGAAGAATCCCCTCTACTTCTCCTCCTTTCCTAGATGGGTGGCATGGTGGCCCATTGGTTAGCATTGTTGCCTCACTGCAAGAACGTCACTGGTTCCAGTCTTTACCAAGCCAGCCGACGTTTCTGTGCGGAGTTCATATGTTCTCCCTGTGCTCACGTGGGGTTCCCCGGTTTCCTCCTACCATCCAAAACCATGCAACTTAAGTTAATTGACTAATCCAAATCGGCACCATAGACATGCTCCTAGTAAGTCGTTATCTCTTAGCAGCAATCCCTATCTGTTCATTAGCTACTACAGCAGGGGAGTTCTCAAGATGTTGCTGAGGTCTAACTCCCCTCTTGCCCCGCAAACGGGAGGGAACCCCAGGCTTGAGGATCTTATGAGCTCAGGGCTCTCTCCCGGGACAGCATGCCAAACACATCTTATAATCATTCATCAGCTAAGTGTGACCTCTTGAAAACAAGTTTGGGACTAGTAAAGGGAGATTAAATGATGTACATTAAAATTTTGGGTTGAACTATCTATTCAGTTTTTTGGTGCGAAACAATTTGTATTCATTCTGAACTATAGTAGTACTGCATGTTATGTTTTTGTAAAAACATACAATTCTTTATAATTCATTAGTTTATTGTTTTACTGGCAAATTTTGAGATGTTTTTTTTTTTTTTTTTTCCCCCACATCAATTTTTCATTCATGAAATTTCCCTATTACAAAAAGTTCATTGTATATAATCAATAACCTAGCATAACTGCGGGAAAAGTCACTTTAAATGGTTAGTTAAAATTCTGCCATTGTTTACTCGTCCTTCACTTGACCAAACTCTTTATTTTTTTGAATTCAAAGGAAACTATTCTAAAGAAAGGCTGAAGAACAAAGTCATTGACTTCTATAGTATTTTTCTGTTCCTACTATGGATGTCAATGGCTGTATTTCCCAGCCATTCTTCAGAATATCTTCTTTGTTGTTGTTGTTGTTGTTGTTGTTGTTGTTATTATTATTATTTAAGGGGTTATCTTTTTTACATTGATTGGATGGTAAAGATTTCACAGACAGTTAAGTTGGGGGAGAAGAGATGAGGGGAAGGATCAGCAAAGGACTTCGAACTGGGAGTCAAACTTGGGTCGCCGTGAGCACCTTGGTGCTATGTCCCAACAAACTAACCACTAGTTAATTTCTGCTGACATGTTTGTTTGGTTTTTTTTTTTTGGTTCAACAGAAGGATTAAATTCATAGTTTAAAACAAGGGTGTTCAAACTCTGTCCTGGAGGGCTAGTGTCCTGCTGAGTTTAGCTCCCAACTTGCCTCAACACAACTGCCAGGAAGTTTCTAGTACCTCTAGTAAGAGCTAGATTAGCTGGTTCAGGTTTGTTTGATTTAGGGTTGGAGGAGCTAAACTTTGCAGGACACCTGCCCTCCAGGACCAAGTGTGGACACCCCTGGTTTAGAACTACTTAAGGAAATGAGGAAATAATTATTTTGTGTAAACAATCCCTTTAAAATCAAGCAGCTTCCTGTTGGTCAGTGTAGGGATTATAAGGAAAAATGGAAAAACTGTGGTAAACTCTTTGATTCTCATGCAAAATTCCCACTCATTATTGAATCCTATTGAGGTGAGAGCGTTTCATCAATGAAATAGTCGACAAAAAGCTGTTAATTCCAGACCACTCACAGAAAAAGTGCAGTTGCATGGTGTCTAATTTTGGTTTGAAACCCACTTCACAACCTACTTATGTTTGGTATAGCATAAATACGGTTCGTATGCATCAATGTATTATGTCATTCAGGGAGACTTTTTTTTATGCCATTAATGTTATCTGGGTGCATTTGACATTGGAAAATCTGTGCCAACTATGAGTACGCTTGCGCTCATATGAACTTGATCTGTTTAAGTTTTCAAATCCATCAAGTTTATGTCATGCAATTCTTGAATAACTTGATAAACGTGCAATTGCGAGTTGAAAAAAAAAAACAGAACTGGTAGATGAAGTTGGCTGTTTTTTTATTTATTTAATCAGTGAAGGAAACGAGTTTCAATACACGTTTTGGATAACATCTGTTTTCTAGACTGAAATGTAGAAAAAAAAGATGCATTTCCAAACCCTAAATGTGAATTTGCGCATCAAGAACACAAAATATACCTCTGTTCTGTCAATGGAAACAGTCAATAGTTTTACTTTGAGCTCTTCTAAGAATAGAGAGGGTGTGGTTGTAAAAACGCCCTAATATGAACATAGCATGGCTGTGTTTTATGCAAGTCAGCTGCTAGTTTCGGGCTCCCTCATTTTGCTATTCAGTTTGAAATTTTGCTTTATCGTGTGCGTCTGCAAATATGCAATATATAAAGGGAAATGATCATTGAGTTAGATTCGCAGGTTTGTTGATGTGTGTAAATTTATCTCTAATGCTGATCTAGGCAATCATCTGAAATGTTCAGAGCCATTTCCTGTTTCAACCCCTGTGTATTACTCAAATTTACTACGCTTTTGTTATGTTAGTGGCTGTTTTTACCCCATTGTTGTGCATAATAAGGACATTTTTTGATTTTAAAGCCATGACAGCATGCATTCACGATTGTTGGTGGTTTTCCCTGTTGGGAAGAGGTCAGATGTGTCATTTTTACAGTTGATCATCAGTTTGGCAGCATTAACCTCTAGATAGGCCTGTTCAAAATTATTGTAAACTTTATGGAGTAAAAGAGCAGATAGTAGTGTGTATGCATCAAATGGAGTTAACTTGTTAACAAAGGTTTGGTAGCGGAACCACGCCCCACTTTGTCTCCTTAACCGATCACCTAATCCCTAAAAGCTTAAGGCAGACTAGCCCTCTAGCACTGTTCTTCTCCTTCTTTCAAACTCTCTCCCTCCCTCTATTTCCTCGCTTGCCATTAACAATCCTATAACCCTCTCTTCCCTCCTAGGTTGAATAGGGGGGTCCAATCACTCTGCCAAAAATATTACAGAGATGGTACCCCCACACTCTGAGTCTCTAGGCATCATCATAGAATGCCCGACTAACCTACCTATCTGTTCACTGTTTATCCTCTTACTTCCCTTCCCCTTAATCCCACTGTTCCCCCACCATTCCATACAATAAAGTTTAGCTCAAAGTGTGGCGTGGTCCATGCAGGTAAATACACGCACTGTTTTTGTTTACACCATGTAGTTCTGTGAGCCAAGGTGCTTATTTTGATTTTCTCATATCAAGAAAAGTGTGCAAAGGTATCTCTCGCACACTATAAAAAGGCTATAGAATACACAAGATGTGTCAGTTGTATACTATTTAATGGGGAAAAGTGTAACAGTCAATATGGCAAATAAAGCCCCACCTTCTAGTACAGAAGCCAATCAGTGATCGCCATATAGTGGATAAAGCCTGCCTTCTAGTACAGGAGCCAATCAGCGATCACTATAGTAGATAAAGCCTGCCTTCTAGTACAGGAGCCAATCAGCGACCACTATATAGTGTATAAAGCCCCACCTTCTACTACAGGACCCAATCGGCCATCACTATAGAATGACAATTCTCTGGGGAGGGGCTTGGACTAGACATGAGTTTCTGCAGATTTTGTGTGATACGAACATTTAGAAATGAAATAAAATAAAAAGATAGCTTATTCATAATATGTAATGTATTAGTAATCTTGGCAAGTAGTTTTGGAGAATTTGATGTTTTCCCATTCAAACAGACTGCCCGAGCATATTGCCTGAGAGGTGCTTCAAAGATGGTCGCCAAGTGAAATGACTTGACTTAAAGGGACTTTGACTATACTCCATATAGAGACCAGAAACTACGCTTTTTTTGCACTAAAACTGATGATAAACAGTAAAAAAAAAATGCTAATTTGACCTCTTCCCAACAGGCAAAAAAAGGAACAACCAAGAATCCACGATGTATATGCGGTCATGGCTTTGCAATGAAAAAAAGGCATTATAATGAAAGTCACTGGGGCAAAAACAGCCACCAACATATTGAAAGGGAAGTCCATTTGCCCATAGATTCCAAGTTTCAAAACACTTTCCCAAAATGTGCGTCAATATAAGGTTTGTGACCAAAACATTCCATTTGCTGAGAAACAGAGAAAGTTTTGGTCAAATTAAGACTCAAAATTTGCCCAGAGGGCATGAAAACATCCCCAACAGCACATAAGGGTTAATCTTGAGAAACTTCGGTCTTTAATATTCTCAAATGAATGCGTTAAATCAGCCAAGAGGTTAAACTAACACATCATATTGCTTTTTCAGGTGTTGTAAAGACTGAACTATCCCGCAATGTGAGTCTCTGGCAGAAAGTTTTCATCGAGCCCGTGGCCCGATTACTGTTCCTGGACCCCAAAACCGGAGCCCAGACCACGCTTCATTGCGCCGTTCAGGAAGGAATCGAGCATTTCAGTGGCCGTTATTTCTCATGCTGCGCTGTGGAGGAAGTCGGCGCCAAAGCCAAAGATGATGCTGTGGCCAGAAAGCTTTGGCAGATCAGCGAGCGACTGAGCGGCCTTTCCTAAAGCCAGAACAACTGAAGCATTTCTGCTGTCTGTGACTAATTTTACCTCTTGAGAAAAAAAAAAAAACGAATGATGAAGTGATGAAACTGATTGTTGTGTGCTTTTTTTTGTATATGGACACACAATGTTGTTTTATTTGTATGCTTACATTAAATTTGTTGCTGTTGTTTTTTTACTATATTAAAGTATGTAATGGAATCATCAGTTTCTTTATTTCTTTATGACAAATGTAATTATATTTGATATGAACTCAAACGTGAGCAATTTAGTAATATTTATGCCAATCGTCAACAGGATTGAAAAATGACTGTCACTGTAGATCTAATCTTTGTGCATTTTTTGATCAGTATTGAATTACATTTCATTGTTGAATGAGAATATTCCTCATGGAATTGACTGATACCAATAAAGAGCATTTCTTTTTAAGAGTCAACTTCTAAGATGAAAAGCTTTTTTCCTCTTTTTTTCCTCTTGTCTCCGTGCAGTTTTGCTTCAACCCTAAGCTACACAACTGATCCAAGTAATCGAAGTGTTTAAAAGAGTCATGAACACCTTCATTAGTTGGATCAGCTGTGTTTGATTAGGGTTGGAGCAAAACTGCAGAGCTGTGGCCCTCCAGGAACTGATTTTGATATCAATGATTTAGTTGTACAGGCTTAAAATGAAATGGAAGACCATTTACACCATAGGTTGCAAATTGGAATGCTGGAGGGCCGCAGCTCTGCACAGTTTTGCTCCAACCTTAATCAAACACAGCTGATCCAACTAATCAAGGTGTTCAACAATTCTTGAGACTTTTAAGCAGGTGGTTGGAGCAAAAATCTGCAGAGCTGCGGCCCACCAGGAGTTGAGTTTGTGACCACTGGTTTACATGCACGATCAGCAGGCTAGCGCAGAAACTCCATTAAAAATACTGGGTAAGTCAGCAAAATAGCCTAGTGGTTAGCGCGCCGACATATGGTGCAATAGCACGTCAGGCTGTCACGAGTTTGAATCCCGGCTCGATGACTTTACCCTACCCTCTCTCTCCCACTTCGCTTCCTGTCTCAATACTGTCCTATCTAATAAAGGCAAAAAAAATATATATAAAAAAAAAAAATACTGGGTAAAATAAATGTTAATTTTTTTCAAGACATTGCATGGGAAAATTAAAAATCCTTCTGCATAATTCTGGATATACTCTATTTGCATGTCAGAAAAAAATAGCTGAAGTTAGCAGATTTGACTAACAGACCTACAAATCAGTCTAATTTTGCTCCAGATCAAAAACTTTAAATTCCAAACTTTGTCATTTACAAATAAAATTGTAATCTAAACCTTATCATTAAAAAAAAAATTGGGATCCAAAAATTGTCATTCAAGCAAAACTCACAATCCAAAAAAATGCCATTTAAAAAAATTTGGAATCCAACAACTGTCATTTAATTTGTGAAATAAGAATTGTCATAAAAATTGCAATCTAAAATTGTCATTTTAAAACATTTGTGATCCAAATTTTTCATTAAAGAAAAAATAGCAATCCCAAATATGCCATTTAAAAAAAACAAATGTGATCCAAAAATTGTCATTTAAAAAAAATTTGCAATCAAAAATTGTCATTTAAAAACAATTGGGATCCAAAAAATGCCATTTAAAAAAAGTTTGTAATTTAAAAATTATCATTAAAAAATTGGATGCAAAAAAATGCCATTTAAAAAAAAAAAACTCATTAAAAAAATGTTAAATCCCAAGACTGCTACTTAAAATAATTGCAATCAAAAATTGTCATTTAAAAAAATTGGGAACCAAAATTGTCACTTAAAACAGAATTTGCAATCCCAAAAAATGCCATTTGAAATAAATCATGATACAAAAATGATCCCTTAAAAGAGTTTGTAATCCAAAAAATTGCCGTTTAAAAAAGGATCTAAAAAATGCCATTTTAAAAATTGTCATTCCAAAAAATTTGGTATCCAAAAAACACGATTAAAAAATCTGCGATCAAAAATTGTTATTTAAAATTTTTTTTTTTACAAAAACTGTTCTTTTGAAGAAAAAAATAATGAGGGAAGCTGAAACATTAAAAGTTGTAAATGTTATATTTAAACTTCCCCCACTATTTACATTTTACTTTCTTCAAATAGAACATGTGAGACCTCTGGTTGAGCTGAAATAGAATGACTCCACAAATTAATCTCATCTACACACCTCTTTAAGAGTACAGCCAAAATCAAAGACAGTGAATGCAGCTGAAAGTGAACCGTGACTTGTCTATCATCAACCATCATGACTCGTATTTAATAATATTGAAACCAAGGCAATCTGTACATTACGTCTCCACGAACAAAACCCACAGGCTGTTTGAACCGCGTTCACCTCAAGTGAAGTGAGTCGAAAACGCACGTCCTGTTTGGGCAGGAATGAACAAATGATTTTCTATATGTTGTGAGGGGGCTTTTAGAGAGATTGTGGCTTTAGGCTAGAGGTGAATAATGCCTTTAAATTGTCCTGCTTCACAAAACACACACACACACAAGGTGTTACTGAGTACAGGGTGTTACGAAAACTGCGGTAATATTTGTCCGATTGTACTTTGTGGGGGTAAGGTGTGTTGATGTAAAATGTTTCACTTTTTTATTGGCAAGTGAGAGGAGGACAGATGACAAAAGGGACATAAATCTGAATATTCACTATATAGAAACTCTGTCTCACTACAAAACAGTATTGTACAAAATAAAAGTCCCACTGGTTACGACATAAAATACTGTAGCTAAGTTTAGGGTTTATGGATTGATTTTAATGTTACAATAATGTTTAATACAGGCCTGCTAATGAAGCTTTGGATAAGAATGTGTGAAAATGGCTGAACTCTTTGTAGGGGTTTGCAGGAAAAGAAATTTTAAAAAATTATTTAGATTATTGAATATTTGGTTTAGCTTTAGTGTTTCTTTGCATCTGTGAAAAAAAACTGAAATTATAGTTATGGTTTTCTTTTTTTGTTTTCTTCCATATTCATATGCTCATACACCACCTGACAAAAGTCTTGTCGTCGATCATAGTTGTAAGAGCAACAAATAATAACTTGACTTTTAGTTGATCATTTGGAAAAGTGGCAGATGGTCAATTTTTCCGATGAATAATCTGTTGAACTGCATCCCAATCATTACAAATACTGCAGAAGACCTATTGGAACCAGTCACAGAACTCATAGAAATCAGTCAAGTTTGGTGAAGGAAAAATCATGGTGTGGAGTTACGTTTAGTATTGGGGCGTGCGAGAGATCTGCAGAGTAAATGGCAACATCAACAGCCTGAGTCTCATACTTCAGCTTCCACATCAAAGTTCCTGAAAGCAAAGAAGGTCAAGGAGCTCCAGGATTGGCCAGCCTAGTCACCAAACATGAACATTATCGAGCATGTCTGGGGTAAGATGGAGGAGGCGGCATTGAAGATGAATCCAAAGAATCTTAATGAACTCTGAGAGAAGGCTTTCTTTACCATTCCAGATGACTTTATTAATAAGTGATTTGAGTCACTGCAGAGATGTATGGATGCAGTCCTCCAAGCTCATGGGAGTCAAACACAATATTCATTCTGTTTCCACTGCAGCATGACTTTATATTCTATACTGGACATTATTTCTGTTAGTTACAAGACTTTTGTCAAAGCTAAGTCAGAACTTACTGTCCTAATTAAATAATTAAAAATCAAGGCATTATCATATTTTATTTTGGTAAAGCGTAATCTAGCGGCCACTTCTGATACCAAATGATTAACTAGATGTCCAGTTATTATTTGTTGTTCCTAAAACTTGGATAGACGACAAGACTTTTGTATAAGGATGAATAAATAATAAAAATAAGTTCAATTTTTACAGTAAACATTGAAGCTTGGCAAGTGTTTGCCACTAATTTACTAAACTATATAAAGGAATGGCTGTAAATTATTACCTTAATGTTATTTATGATTTTTCCTTTCCCCTTTTTCCTTCTGACTTAAGTTAACAGTAATATGTCACACTTTTCTCTTTGAACATTTGTATGTAATATTTGTTTATATCTAAAAACAATAAAAAAAATGGGCATCACGGTGGCTTAGTGGTTAGTACTGTTGCCTCACAGCAAGAAGATCGCTGGTTCGAGTCCCAGCTGGCATTTCTGTGTGAAGTTTGCATGTTCTCACCAGGTGCTCCTGTTTCCCCCACAGTCCAAACACATGCGCTATAGGTGAATTGGATTAACTTAATTGCCATAGTGTACGAGTGTGTTTGTGAATGTGAGTGTGTATAGGTTATTCCCAGTGCAGGGTTGCAGCTGGAAAGTAATCTGCTGTGTAAAACATATGCTGAATAAGTTGACGGTTCATCCTGCTGTGGTGACCCCTGATGAATAAAGAGACTAAGCCGAAGGAACATGAATCAATGAATGAACAGTAAAAAGTTAATCACAAAGAAATAATAAGTTCAATTTTTGAGCTTGATCTCTTTAAATGTGAATGTTTCTTAAACAAGCGAAATCTCACAGCACCTCTCTCATCTCTTTTACAAGTATAACGACAGAGAGAAGGAAAAAGGCCTTAAAATACTGTAATGATTATGAATGAAACCTAAAGTGCTTTAACCACCTGGAAATCTATAAAATATCTCAAACTTTAGTCAGTCGGTGTCTGTGACACTCTAGACAAGTACAATACTGACAATAAATGTAGCTAAAACTATAATAAGCATCTAAAAATGGATTAGGGTCAGAATACACAGTCATAGATGCAAAGTCAAAACTGGAACTGTCACTTTTTCCTTTACAGGGGTAGTTCACCCAAAGCTGAACAATCTGTCTTCCTTTAGATCATCCATTTACATAGTTTCAAAGCATTCTTTTGTCGAAGAGGAAAGTAGATATTTTGAAGAATGTTGAAAACCAGTACCCATTGCCAACCATAGTCACCCCTCCCTCACTATGGAAGTCAACGACTACTGGTTTCCAACATTCTTCGCAATATCTTCTTTTACATTTAACAACAACAACAAAAACAAAAATGTTTGAAATCTCAAAGAGACCTTTCACACAGAAAAAGATTGGCTGCGTCAGA